ATTGTAATAAATAAAAAATAAATTTAAAAAAATGTGAAAGGGGCAAAAACAAAATAAAGCAAACAAACAAAAAAAGCTGAGTGGTAGCATACTCCTTTAATCCCAGAACTCTGGAGACAGAGGCAGGCAGATCTCTGTGAGTTCAAGGCCAGCCTGAACCACCTAGAAAGCACCAGACTAGCCATGACTACGTAGTGATACTCTGTCTTTGAAACAAAATTAAAAGTATCGACAAGTGTCTGAACTGCCTCAGATAGCTGTAATCCTAGCACTGAGAGGCAGAGATATGCGGATCCCAGGGCCCCACTGACCAGCCAATCAAGCTGAAACATCAAGCTTTGTCTTCAGTGAAGAAATGCTCTCAACAAGTAGGCCCCATAGCAATTTCAATGAAGACATACCAACATCAGTTTCTGGTGTGTATGTGCACACCACACCACACACACACACACACACACACACATACACACACACACAGGTTAATTGTTTCCGGTGTCTATGATCTACCTGCCCCAGCTCATCTTTTCTCTGCATTAGTTATGTAGCCATTGATACACTTTCAGGACACTTTACCTAGACGCCCAGCAGATACCAGGCTGAGCAACTCTTGGGAGAGGGCTTTCTCCCCCCTTCTTAACTCTTATAACCTCAATGGGAGAAATAAAAGTGCCCATCCTCTTTCCTCCTGTGAAGACTGGGTCAAAGGTGACATTCCTAGATAGAAAGGAACTAAGCCAAAGGTGGTGTTAACACCAACTCCATCATCTCCTTTCCCCAGTGTGTCCCCAAGAGTTACTGAGTGACTGGTAGATGTTTATTATACTGCTAGCTACAGAGTCAGAGCAGAATGTGCTTAAAGGAATCACACATGTGAGTACTGTGCTAAAAGGAATTACATATGTGAGTATGTGTTTATAGTGTTTCCACTCCACACTCTCCCTCCTACAACTCCTCCTACGACTACCTCACTCCTTTTCAAAATTATGACTTATTCTTTAGTTATTAGTGACTTAAAACAAAACAAACACTAAAAATGTGTAGAGTTTCTGGACACATCAGAGGCTCTGACAAGTGATTACAAATGGAAATGTGGTCAGAACAATTGTCACTGATTCCCAAGTATCACAGTGGCAAGGTAAAGCAATGCCACTGTGCTTATCACACGCAGTTCTCAGAGACAGGTTTCTGCAATATGCAGTTTTTCATAGAGAACGCTTGGCCCAGTTTCTCTACTGTGTTCATGTGTGTTCCATGGTTCTTTTGTGGGTTATTTGGTCAGAAACAGAAACTAAATGTCCAAGTTATTTACAACTAAGCCATCACAGGAGGACTGGGTGATAAAAAAGAATTATTAAGCATGAGTTGGGATGATAAAGAGAAAACCACAAGTTTTGCAGTTATAAACCTGTTTCTGGTAAGTGGCTCAGCAGCATACATCTTACCTGCCTCAAACCAAACTATTTGCCACATCCTAAGAAGATGTGGTCAGAAGGTTTACAGCATGAGACCCTGAGAGAGACGAGAAGATTCCGTTATTCTAGAAGGCTCACATGTGAATTCCATCTTCCCCTTACAGAAACAAACCACTTTTAAGAGAAGAAGTGGCCTTGGTGGGCAAAATCCACACTCTCCGGTTTTCAACACAAAATTACAGAGGAAACCAAGGAAGAGTGAAGAATGACCTAGTCCCAGAGGACACACTTTACATGAGATGTTTTTTTTTTTTTTTTTTTTTTTTAAGGGATCTTAGATGTTATAAGGGTCACAGAAGTTTTTAGTTTCTTAAAAGTATTCAGAGTTGAGGGAAACTCAAGGAAATAAAGGGAATCAGTAACAGCGTATGAAAAAGTAGAAAATATTTATGAACACATCAAAGTTTTAACCCAGAAAAGGACAATAACTAAGGTGAAAGCGTCTCTAATGCGATGCAGTAGCAAATTTGATCAGAGAAAGAAACCAGTGAAATTCAAGTTGGAAACTTGGCTCAGCAGGTCAGAATGCTGACTGCTCTTGCAGAGGACTCAAATGCATTTCCCAGCACTCATATCACCTGACTCACAATTGTCTGTAACTTCAGATCCAGTGGATCCAACACCCTCTTCTGTCCTCCACGGGCACTGTATCCATGTACACACACACACACACACACACACACACACACACACACTTGCATTTGATAGTAATGAAAAATAAAATAAATATTTTTTAAAGATCACAATGTTGATGCATCGCCAATAAGCTAGCTCAAACAGAAAAAAATAACCTAAGTTGGGAGACAAGTCTGATGAAGTGTAATATTCAGACGTGAGAAAAGTTGGAGCATGATCATACTTTGTTATGAATTCTGTGATGTTATCAAGAAACAAAACCTAAGGACCCATGGGATAGAAGAGGAAGCCGAGATTAAATACAACTGAAAGGCACAGAAGACCTATACCTTAAAGTTAGAGGGAAATATTCCAAATTATGCAAAGAAATGCATATCCAAACACAAGTGCATTTAGAAACCCAAGGAGAAACGAACAGAGAACTCTCTTATCAACACGTTTAGTTAAAATCTTCACATTCCAAGCAAAGACAGGAAAATCTGAAAGAACAGGAATTCATTTACAAAGACAAATTCATCATAATACATCAGAATTCTCAGCAAAACCCATAAAAGCCGAGGCAGAAAAGAATGAATGTATTTTAAGCCATAAGAGTAAATGACTACCAACAAAAATTATTATGTCCAGAAAAACCAATGGAGTAATAGATACAAGATAAATACAAACTCAAGTCATTCATGACCATGAATTCTGCAATGTTGACATTGCAGAATGAGCTTAAAGGAATCATACATGTGAGTACTGTGCTAAAAGGAATTATGTGAGTATGTGTTTCTAGTGTTTCCACTCCACACTCTTCCTCCTACAACTCCTCCCATGATTACCTCACTCCTTTTCAAATTTATGACTTATTCTTCAGTTATTAGTGACAACACACACACACACACACACACACACACACACACACACACACACACAGGTTCTCCTCTCCTGGGGTCCATGACCTCACATCCACATGTAGTTGACTAGGTTTCCAGCATTAGACATGAATTCCCTCCTACTGAGTTGGCCATAAGTCTCATTAGACAGCTGCTGGTTATCGCCAGGCTGTAACTGTCACAATTGCACCCTTGGGTATATCTTACTGTGCTGGTCATTGTTGTGATTTCAAAAATCGTTGTGGTTATTAACTGGCTTTGGCTTTGGCAGCTTGTGTAGCACCATTAGATATTATGAGAGTTAGTTTTCAAAGAGGACACTCAAAGTCAACTCCAGCATGGGTCCCCTAGGTCCTATGTCAAACTTGTCTGGTGTGTTCAAAACTTATTTTTTTTTTCTGCTAAGAAACCCATTACATGAAGGAAGATTTTCTACACTAAAATCTGATTGTTCTCCTCTTAGGAAAGACCAACTTCAAGTACCTTTGACTTTGTATAATTTATTTTCATTCATTAACAATAATTTAATGATGAGAAGTTGTAAATTCTATGATGGTGGGACTCTACAGTCTCTGTGACTGGATACGTTGGTAAAAATGACATTATTGAGAACGTTCATTGTCTATCATGGTACAGGGAGGTTCAAGTGATACCTTTTCTGGATATGATTTTTTTTTTTGTCATATGAGCAGGTCATTACTGCCTCTAATGTTGGAATGAATTGACTCTCTTCTATATCATGAGTTGCTGCTTTTGATACCATGATTCCTTTGTTATTACAGACTAATTTATGGTAAATAATGAATATCTGTTGATATGCAATATGAAAGACATTTATTTATACTAAGTAAATATTTTTCATTCTCTGGACAGAATGTTAAAAAAATACTAAGAGAAAGCTGGGGGAACAGCTGAGTCCATAAAGTGCTTGCCATGCACGCAAAGGACCTGAATGCCATTCCCAGGGCCTATGTGAAAAAGGTGGGTGTGCTGACAACATTTACACTCCGAGCTCCGGGGAGGGAGACGGAGACAGATACCCAAGGGTCTCTGGCCAGCAGGTTTTGTGTAATCACCAAGCTAAGTGAGAGACCATGCCTCAAAAACCAAGGCAGACAGAACCCGACCCACAGGGTTTATGACTGCCTGCATACACATATACAGACATGTGCACCCACACACGCACACACGCACACACACAGGAATGCACACACACCTCACTAAAAAGACGTCGACAACTGCTGAGTTTTAGCAGCCTGGATTGCTTTCTTACATTGCACTATGTCAGCATTTTAGTGATCTGTGTCCTTTTGTAAACTAGACCTTACCCATCCTTAGTTCACAGGTTTGCATAGGACAAATGTCAGCTTTCCTGGAGAAGTGGGAATGACTCAGTCATTAGTCATTCTTAGTCAGCCAGTGTTCCATTCTCAGAGCTGCAGCCACCTCTTACTTTTGGTCAGAGCCTGCGGCTATCTCTTACTTTTGGTCAATAAATGTCGAATGTGTGCTTTTCATAAGAAAGCACGTGGAGCATTTGAAGCTATGGCGCTAAACAGATTGACAACTGTTGTAGGCCTTTCCATTACTGCATTGTTCAGTGCCCTCCCCAAACTGTACTCTGGTAATGGATGCTCCTGATTACCCCTACTAGATGGTCAATTCACGCCTGGTCTTAGCACAAGAGATGAGCCTAAATGCACATCTGTCCTGATGGACTCAGCAGTGTGGCTTTGAAAGCACTGATGCTCCAACACTGGGCACCTGGGTCCTGGGACTCTGTTACCATGCCCTGCAACCCCACCCTGTGCCCTTGCGTTCCTGCCGGGGGCTGTAAGCGGTGGTGCTGAGTCACGAGCTGTGGGCTCTGCTGTGGTTACTTCATGATTCTCACACAAGCACTCAGAAGACGTCATCGCGCAGAGGCGGGAGGGGTAGGAGTTTTCATTAGAGAGCCTTCTGTGGTGAAGCATCATAAAAGCAGAGAAGGGGCATAAGGTCGCTGAGCCTACTCTACCTCCTTCATCGCCTAGAGGTTGAAAGAGAGCAAGGACAGCACCCCTGAAGCTGGGACCTCGGCGGCCTTCTAGGGAAGATGAGGCTCCTCCTGCTCCTGCTGGCCTTCTGTCTCCCCCACAGGATGAAGGCAGGTGAGTGAGCAACACCTCCCTTCGGTGGCCTAACCCTGCTGTCACCGGTAGTGGGAGGGCAGAGGTCTTACTCAGGAAGAGCGGTTGAGTGCTGTGCCCTTCTGAGCCATACCCTTGTCATCGGGAAAGCGGATTTTCCTAGAAACACGTAGTAGAGGGAAGGCACCTGCAAAGCACAAAACATTATGTTCTCCTGGAGCAGACAGAATGGGCCTGTCTTCTGCATCTATGACGATACAGGCCTCCCCTCACCACGTACCCATCAAAGAAGCCTAGGTGTTGGTGTTCCCTGTCCTGAGAACAAGTGATTTTTCTGAATCCCAAGTCACTAGGTCCCTTCCTCCAACTCTGTGCTTGCCAGGCTTTGATGGCTCCGCAGTGTTGAAGCAGGAGCCCCTGGGAAGGCACTGCCTTCTCTGCTCTCCAGAATGCCAGCGCCTGCCTCTGGGAAGGACTGGGGAGCCATTACTCGGGAAGCCAGTGAGCTTTACTGAGCAGGCCTGAAGAACTGGCATGCAATGTGTGAACTGGAGCCGTGGTCCCCGGAAAGCAGCCCTGCCCAGGCAGCAGGACTGTGGGGGTTGGGAGGTCCTAGAGACTCTGGGAACAGAAGTTGGGAGACAGACAAGATAAGTTCTTAGGATTTCTTTGTCCAGAGATTCATGCTTGCCTGCAATGTGGAAGGAAGACTGATAGGCCAAGACCTACATTTCTCTTCTTTTATAAGAAGGGGATCATGAGAACACTCCTCTCAGCCCCCTCCCAACTCCAGGCCTCCCTGGCTCCCAAATGCCGAGCAAGCCTGGAGCCACCACACAAAACCCATCTGGTGGACTAGCAGATGAACACAGAAAGGTTGGCTTTCCTTTTAGGGGAGATCATCGGGGGACATGAGGCCAAGCCCCACTCTCGGCCCTACATGGCCTTTCTTCAGATCATGAATGGGGGTACTTCAAAGAGGTGTGGTGGCTGTCTTATACGAGAGGACTTCGTGCTGACCGCCGCTCACTGTTCCGGGAGGTGAGGAGCGGGAAACAGTCCACACTCTCCTGGGAAGATTCCGTGGGGCTTGAGATGAGAGAGGACCCCAGTGAATCTCATGAGGGAGAAACAGACTAGCACCGGGGTCACAGAATCAAGCACGCTTCCGCCGGGGTTAGCGCTGTCATAACTAAACAGTGCAGTTTGCCTTCTCAGAGCTGACTGCCTCTGGAGGGTCTCTAATGCGGGGAGCAGTGCTTCAGACATCCCCTCATTATCCCTCAGCTAGAGCTCCGCCCTGCCCAGCCCCAGCCTGCCATTCACAGCTCTGGGGCTCCATCCTTTCCGCCTACACATCTCTCATGTCAGCTCTGCCCTCCGCACAGCTCAATAAATGTCACTCTGGGGGCCCACAACATCAAAGAACAGGAGAAGACACAGCAGGTCATTCCTGTGGTAAAAACCATTCTGCATCCTGACTATAATCCTAAAGTCATCTCCAATGACATCATGCTGTTAAAGGTGAGACCTTACCCCACCATGGTTCAGGGAATGTCCCTCCTGTTATCATCACACTCACTTCCCTGCTTTCCATCCTGGCCGTCATGTTGTCTCAGCCTTGCAGGCCATGAGTAGACTCTTGCTTCTTCCCCAACAGCTGAAGAGAAAGGCCAAGAGGACTAGAGCTGTGAAGCCCCTCAACCTGCCCAGGCGCAATGCCCGTGTGAAGCCCGGGGATGTGTGTTATGTGGCTGGCTGGGGAAGGATGGGCCAAATGAGCAAATTCCCAAGCACACTACAAGAGGTTCAGCTGACAGTACAGAAGGATCAGGAGTGCAAGTCCCGCTATCCACGTAATTACAATGAAACCATTGAGATATGTGCGGGGGACCCAAAAATCAAGAATGCTTCCTTTAAGGTAACTTGGATTGCTCTCCACTCTGGGCTTAGTAGAAGGGGAAAAGGAATCTGGGACCTAGAGGGCAAACACCAAGGGACTCCTTTGCCCACTGGCTGAGATCTTTCTCCCTGGGAACAGCAGGAGCCAGGAACTGCCTAGAGCATCCTGAGCTGACAAGGAGCCTCTGCTGAAGGCAGCTTGTATAAAAAAGGTGTGTGACACACAACGCCTGCCTTCCAGGCCCAGGCTTTGCAAAGCTGTGGTCCCAGAGTGTGTCCTAGCCACAACCAGGTGATAAGGGTCCCATACACCTTCATGGAGAGTGGATCACAGACCTGGGGGAAGGGCAGAGGC